GGTAAACTTCTTCGCTTCTGCTTTGAAATTGTCTCTATTACAACACAAGTTATAGAAAATTTGTTTTTAAGGATATCATTTGAGGTTGACTTTTGTCTCTTGGTACTCGTCTGTCCATTGTCTGTTGGTCTGGAATATACGAGTACTTGGTTTATCACTTTCGTTTGCTTAGTTTGATGTTGAAAAAAATCAATGTTGTAAAGAAATACTATACAACTTGAGTCCTTTGGTGCCAAAAGCTTTCCAACTTGTTTTTATTTTATTTTACAATATTTGATTTCGCTTTTATTTTAACTTAACTGTGATTCGATTTGGCTATGAATTTTAGTTTTATTTGGCAGTATGCCATAGTACTTCACTACAATTTATACAGCTCTAATCGAAACCAAGTCAAAACGGCGCGGCTTTAAGTTTTCTGGTTTGTTTGTTAGCAGTAAATTTTATTTAACATAAACTTTTTCTACTTCTCTGTCTTGCCTTGTCTGTCTTGCCGCCACATAAAAAATCAATGTCTGGGGAAACAAATTTCGTACTAGAGAAATATATTACTCAAAGTACAACCGCAGGAGTTTGAAATACTTTTCTATATTGTCACATAATATATGCCAGTTTACCTTGATTGCGACATCTGTATGTAAGTTTACAGCAATTTTTTCTGTTTGTTAAATTTACTCATTTTCAAAGTGCTTGGTGGAGTCACTTTTTGGCAGAGTTTAACTTACTTTTTATTTGCATATATTTAGGCGCATTATGGAATGACATGGGCATAATTATGATATCAGTTTATAGTATTTCATATAGCTGTTTTTTATTTTGTTTTAATTATAAAACTTTTTTGTCATTCAATAACAAAAATACGTTCATTTGATTATAATTTGTTATAAAAAAAATTTTTATTTCCCTAGTAAAAGTTGAGAATTATGTACAGTATAAGAAGTATTAATACGTTTTCTTGTACAATAGTTAAGACATGAAAAAGTTATCAAAAGTACTGTCATTAGTTTTTGTCATTTCTATTAAATAATCGGCTTATTTCCGCATCCTTATCCTTATTAAAATAATGTTTATCCTTATCTCATTTTCATATTTTCTTTCTTCTTTCTTAGCAAAACTTTAAAACTATTAATTATTGTATGCATAGACATACTTCCGCATTTTCCTTTCTTCTTTTTTAGAGTTTTCTGAGTGATTTTAATATTTCTTCCTTTTTCGTGTAGAAAAGATTATTGCATGATTTTGTTCTTTCTTTCAGTCATGCTGTAGCAAGTGTCAAGTATCCTTTTTGTGGTTATTTAATGCAAGAATGCGTTTTGTGGAATAATGCATGTTCCTTAAAATACTTAAGCATTCCCATTTACCAAGTTGACTTTTCTAAAGCAACTGAACTACTTGAAATGTGTGAGTTTTTACTTGTGATTTCAATTCTCCAAGGAAAGTAATCATTAAGAAATATGTGTGCTCACAGCAAACAGGGTTGTTGAATTCCACTACCATTAAGTTCATGAAACTAATAAGTTGTGAGTGAAGTAACAAATGATTAAGTACTTGTCATAATTTAAATTTTAAGAATATGTTATATAAAAAAGTTGTTTTACATTTTTATGTAAAAATATTATTGCAGTTTTTAGGCGTAAATGTTTCAACAATTTTAACAATTTTATTTATTTATTCATATTTATATACAAACACAAAATTCCTGTTCTGTTCAATGTACGTTTAATTACTATTTGTGCCCCTCTGCACGAACATTTTCACATTTATTTTTTTCATTGCATATGTTTAGGCTTTTGAAATAGTTCAGCCAAATTGGCTTGATGAATATACACTTATTTTAATTAGTTTTGTCTGTTGTTCTGCTGCATTCCGCGGTTTTCATAAAATGTGTTATCCGGATTAATTATTACTTTTATTAGTCAAATTAATTGCATTTGAGTTTTATTTTTTTTTTGCCGCAACAGCAAAATTGTTTAAATATTTTACTATAATTGTGTGTGAAATGCGGTATCTGCTTTTTAGGTTTGTCAGGTCAGTTGCAGTAGCAGTGGCAGCAATTAAATTTAAGTACAATTTATTTGTGGTTATCAATAGTAGTGAGTATCATGAATTCCATTTTTGATAGCCTATGTATTAAATACTAATTTTTATAATTTAAATAAATATGCGGGAAATTTCAAATAAATACCTAAAGTGATGACCTTATTGCTTATAAGTTTAATTAAAATATTATTTCAACTAACCACCATCCATAATCCTCATAAAAGCGATTGCTTTACTACTTTCTTTAACAAAATTTTTTGCCAATATCCACTATAATCTTTCAAATTTTTTGTTTTTTATATCCACTGCAACTTTACTGGTTTATTTTGTCTTTTAGTAGATTTTTTTTCGGTTTGCTTAGCTTAGTTTTTCAGCATCAATTGACAGAAAACATATCGATTTTCTTATTTAAAACAATTTTTCACAAAGTTTGAGAAGAATTCTGGTATTTTCCGTTGACATATATTATGCTTAAATCTACATGACAGATGTCATACGTCATGGCGTGACGTTAATACGCTATTTTCAAAGCATTTGTCAGTTATTTTAGTAAATTTATTTGATATCCGTCCTATATATTTTATAGGGTCATTCAATGTTTAGTTTTTTTTTATTAGTTGTTTATTCACATGTTCACATACGTTTCCTTACTTCATTTATTGATTCTAGAAGTGAAATTAATTTTTATGCAAATTTCATATATAAATATTAAGATTGTAGAGCTTGTTTCATAAACAAAAAATTTGTTTTTTATAAAATGTTCGTGTTATGTTAAATTTTATCAAATAATTTGTTTAAGTCAGCTTGTCATATATAATTATACACCAGTTTTTTTTTCTTATTATCTATACAATAAATGAAAGATATACATAAAGTTATAGAAACCTTTCAAATAATCATTTTTTGAATATATATATTGCAGTCATCATAAGGTAAAACCTAATATATTGTATTAATAGTTTAAATGTTATCAACAATTCTAAACTAATTTACATCCGAAGACTCCACTAATGTTTAATATACTGCAAGCTCAATAAAACACATGAACGATTCATCATCATAATAGTGTCATACGAGTATATATATGTCCGTCATTATGTTGTGACTTACTACAGCACCATCTTCCCAATTGTTGCTGTTTTTTATGTTAAATGCAACTTGTCACTTCAGTTGCATAGTCAGAGAGATATATAAGGAAATAATAAAAGTCTGCCTGAAGTAGTATTTCATAATGAATAACAGGCCCGCGTGGTAACGGCTGCCTGCCTATATAATGTGATGGGCCAACACGTTAGCCTCTGTTTTTTCACATCACATCTGTTAGTAGTGCAATAATAACAGATGATTTTAAAGTGCTTTGATTTTTCAGTCTTTAAGTGGTATAAGGTTTTTGTTTGTTATATTGATCTTTGGACCTCGCCCAGACCCGATTTTTGGGTACTTTTTGGGCACATAAATAATAGAAGATAAAATAAGATTAATGTGCTGGGATTGTTCATAATTTCATAATATTTCATGTCATATATTTAACAGATTTCATTCTTATGACAATAGTAGGAATCGTAGGATAGTCACTTTAATTAAAATGTACTATATATTTGATAGTTACTATGTCACCATAAATGTTAGTAAGCAAAAGCATAATCATTTTATATTATAGTAATTGTATTTATTGATTAAATATTACTTATTCGATAATAAGTAATATAATTGGAATAATAACAGTTCTCAACTTGCTTTCAAGATTATACAAACACTTACAAAAGTACTCAGATAAAAACGAACGTTAAGGGGTGTACTTTTATATTAGTGAAGTACACTGTTTGAGTATTTTTTAGTTACCGATTTTATTTAAAACAATGTTATGTTTTTATACAAAATTATCTTAAGACTAATTTCTACATCAAGGTTAAAATAATATGTTTTTAGTAGACTGTATTACATTTTGTTATTGTTTGTAAAAAAAGGTTAAAAAAGGACGGAAGTCCCAAGACTAGGGATTTTCCTCCTATTGTTTTTATGAATATATTTTATTTTAATAATTTAGATACGGATGCTCAAAAATGTTACTATTTCTAAGAAGGTGATAATGGATTTATAATAATAAACTATAATAATTAAATATATAAATTCATGTTCATGATTGAACAAGGGGCTTAAAACTATTTGATAATTTATTAAAAACCTTTATTAACAAAATACATTATTTTATAGATCCATTTAAGAGTTCCGATCTTATTTTTCTTCGTTTCATAACACATTTAATTGTACTAGTTATACAATTAAATATTTCCGTACATATATTTATCATTGTTTTTATGAAAACTTATAATAAATATTTTTTTTAAATATTTGTTAAAACTTTTTTTATAGTTTGTATTTATCAGTAAAGCTTTATCTTATCGATCAAGTATTCATTACGCCATGTAAAGAATATTTCTCACATTCTCAAAGCTTATCTGTCTATAACTATACAAAATTAACATATATTTTTTTATAAATATGTACTTACTAAAAATTACAAAACAAGTACTGATACTTAATAATATAAGAGCTCTATATATTAACTACATTCAAGCTTCAATTTCATCATATAGAATCTATATTTAATAATTATTTCAGGGTGTTTCCGTGAACACTTAATTTCTTAAATTAACTTCTAAGCATTTCTGAAACATACATACATAAGTGCATTATGAAACATAAAGGCATTTTCTTAAAAAAATTTAAAAAATTTATTCTTTAAACAAAGATTGCACCTTACCATGTATAGCAAGAGGGAAATATACTCTTGGTTA